TGCGCTTCTTACCTGCGTCCCTTCCCTTTGCTCAGGGGGCTGGGCTGGGCACCACTGAGTCCTCAGCTCTGGCTTTGGGTGACCAGGCCTTGTCTGAGATGCAAGTCCAGGCTGTTGGCAGGAGCGCAGTAGACAAGGCTCACCTGGGGTCTGCATGCTTCTACTTAGCAGCTGTGTGATCTTGAGCCAGTTACCTCACTTCACCTGAGGGGAGCCTCAGTCTCCCCTCTGTTAAGCAGAATGGCTACCTGATAGGCACATGATTAAATTAGATACAAATCTTATTGAAATTGACAAGATGGGAATTGTTGGGGGGTTGATGGAATGGAGTGAGAAATTGCAGCCGTGGTTGATATTAAAACGCCAAGGATCCATTCACCTCACCAATGCTGCTGAGCACCAACTATGTGCTAAACACTGTGCGAGACCCTGGGTATCCTGAGAAATCAGGAAACTGCCCCGGCCCTGAGCAACAGGCACCTGTACTGGCGGTGACGGTGTGGGTGGTATTCTGTGGGGCAGACTCGGCCTGGGGGCATCCAGGAGGGCTTCCCTGAAGAAGTGGCATTTGGATGAGGAAGAGCCAGGGAAAGGGTGATGTGGGCAGATGGAACGCCCTGTGGGGCAGTTACCCTAGTTGACTTGGGGAACAAGAAGGGCTGTGTGCTTGGAGCCTCCTGAGGGGCACAGGTCAGGGCAGATTAAGACAGAGTGGCTTTGGAGGCCAAGGTCAGTAGTTTGGAATATAGGAACGATGGGAGGGTACTGAACGCGTTTAAACAGGAGGAGTTACTGTATCCGTCAGGGTTAGGCTGGACTGTGAATGCCGGATACTGGGAGAATAGTGACTTAGGTAAATAAGATACTTTATTTTAAATGCGAAAAAGAAGTCCAGGTGGTAGGGAGTGTCCACAACGTTGTCAAGGAGCTAGACTGTTTTTAAATTACTGTTCTGTTGTCCCTACGGTGTAGGCCTTGTCTTCATTATCCAGACGGGCAGCCAGAGCTCCAGCTATCCTATCCAAAGCCCAGGCTTCAGGAAGTCAGGGGACAGGGGGATATGCACCCTCCCTTTAAAAAAACCTTGTTACTTTGGCTTAACCTCTTATTAGGTAGAACTTGTCACATTGTCACTCCTCGCTGCAGGCAAAGTTAGAGAATGCAGTCTCGTAGCTGGAGGTTAGTTTGCCCAGTTAAAAATGTGTGTGGTTCTTTTTCTAAGGACGAAGGGAAGAACGGAGGTTGGAAGGAAAGTGCCAGTCTCCTGCTGGCTGCTGGGTGGCGAACAGGCTGGAGGGAAGAAAGAGGGAGGCAGGGAGCCCTGGAGAGGGGACATGTGGGAGCCGGGAGAAAGACAGCGGTGGCCTGGACTCGAGGATGCGCAAGAAGAGATGGGGAGAAGTGGGCTGACTGAAGCAGGTTTGAGAGAAAAACCAACGGGACACCTGACACTGGAGGGAAGCGTCACAGCCAAGGATGACCCCCAGTCTGGGCTTGAGCATCTGGACCCATGGCAGCAACATACAGTGCGCTGGGGAAGACCTGAGAGAGACAGCTGGGGGCGGGGGGGGACAGCCAGCACAAGCCCTCACGCCCACCCCACCACCTCAGCCCCAGACCCCTGGCTGTCCACTGGCGAAGCCCCAGGAGGCCAGCCCGCCCAGCCGCCGCAAGCCGCAGTGTGCGCTGCTGCAGCGGGACTCCCCAACCCCAGGCCACCGCCCAAGGAACAAGCATAGCAGCGCAGGTGGCTTGGCGGAGGCTGGTAATGCACACCCTCACTGTAGCCTCCCTGTGAGGTGCCACGGGCTGTGGGGGCTCAGACTGGGGGGTGTCTCACCCAGCAGGAAGCTGCCTGCTCGGCCCACCCCTCAGGCCCCGGCACCCTTCCCACAGGCCTGGCGGGAACCTTGACAGAAGGCCTGAAAGGGAAAGTGGGAGGGCCTGGCCAGGTTCGCGGGCTGCGTCCCCTAGATGGGCGAGCACACGGAGCGCCGGGAGAGGGCCGGGACTCCCCGAGGCCACCCAGCCGCCCGGGAGCGGCGTTGGCTCCTAGGCCTCTGACTCAGAGGCCCGGGCCCTGTTTTTAGCCCCAAGTGGAGGCACCCCTGCTCCCCACCCCTGCCTCTCTGAGTCACCACCTGACCAGGGCACCCAAGGCCGTGCCCCAGGGCCAGCTGATCAGGTCAATGCCCCGGGGAGCTCAGATGCTGAAGAAACTCGTCTCCAACCTGGGACCCCGGGGGGCCAGGCCCTTTGGGTGGACAGCGGAGGGTCTAGGGACCTGGATCAGGGCCGGCGTTATGGGCCCGGCCTGCCAGCCTCCAGGCCTCCTTCCCAGGGCAGGCACGCGGAGGGGACGCAGCTGCCAGAACCTTCCCGCCGCCCTTCTGCAGTAGACAGGCCCTGGCACGGAAATAGCTGCTTAGCTGGGCAGCTCGATTCTGGAAAAGTCCCCCCGGAAGGCTTTGGTGCCACGTGCCTTTTGTGCAGAATCTTTTGTCGGCCGCAGATCTTCCAGGAGCTGACCTCGTTTCCTTTGTGTCTCTCCCATCCCAGGGGACACCTGCAGATCCCCAGCTCCTCCCGCTCACCCCCTGGGCCACGTGCCGCGGGCGGGGGCGGCTCGCTCTCCTCCGGCCCAGTCAGAAGGCAGGGGCTTGAAAGGGCTTGAGAGTAGCGTAAGCTCCTGGTAGTAACTGGTGTGCCCATGAATTAAAGACCCCGATTCTGGCGGCCCATGAGGTGAGGGAGGTGCTGGGCCCGGCACACCCGCTCCCAGCCTCCACCAGGGCTCTGTGTCACCATGCACCCCAGCCAGGAGGTGCCAGGAGAGTGTTCTAAGCAAGGCCCTGTCACCCGGAGAAAGGCGTGCAGACTCAGTGGACAGGGTTTTCCCAGGGTCTGGGCTCAGGCGGCCACCTTGTTGTCCTGCTTTGAGTTCCTCTGGAAGCCAACCCCAAGACAAGGGGTTTATTTTGGAGGTCCTTTCAGGAAGCACTGAGGGACCAGGGAAGTGACTCGGGGGATCCGGGTGCAGTGGTGGGTGGGCCACAGCTCTGGGCGGCTGGGGCTCTGACGTCTCAGAATCGTCTCCCTGCGGGGACAAGGGAGCTGGGGTGTTTGCTCCTGTCGGTGGAGCACGGACTCCTGGGCCGGGCAGCCTCCGGGGCAGGCTGGGCCAGGCGCGAGCAGGGACTGGCCGCAGCACCCGCCTCCCCCCACCCCGCCCCGTCCCCGCTGCCTGCTCTGAGCTAGACAGCAAATCAGCGCTCGCCTCCGATGGAGCGTGAATCTTTCTGGTAACGCCTGTCGCCCCTGCCACGGACCCCTCCACCAAGCACCGTTGGCCATCAGAGGTGCTGTAATAGGTGACTGCTCCCAGCACCTGGGCGTCTGGCCATGGAGCTTGGCCTTGGATTCAGGCCCCTGATCTCCTGAGCCCCAGCCCTACCCCTTCCCACCTGTGAGCACAGGTGAGCGCCTTCCTCTCTCCGGCCCTGATTCCTGACACCCACAGTGACCACTGTACCAGTTAGTATTGTCGCAACCGTGCCGTCTCACCTAACTCACCGACTCCTCCCCTAACTCGGTCACTCAAAACAGCGGTCATTTCCTTTCATGGGGAAGGAAGGGGTTCAGCTGGGGATCTGAGATCCAGGGCGGGCTCAGCGCTGCTGTGTGCCCCCCTCATCCTCTTCCTGGGGTGAATGGGGGAGCCTGGCATGTTCATGGCGATGGCAGTGGCCCCAACGAGCGAGGCCTCTGAAGAGTTGGGTGCGGAACTCCCACATTTTTCCATGGGCTGGAGTGAGGCCCCGGCCATGCTCACAGTCAAGGAGAGAGGCAGTGTGTCCTTCCTGGAGGGGGAGGAACTGCAAAGATCCTCGGCAAAGCAAGGACACAGGCCTGGCGAAGCCTGGGCCGTGGTGCAGGCTCCCGCTGTCCCGCCCCATGAGGGAACTTCTAAGCATTTAGTATGTGCCCAGGAACATCCTTTGCAAACTGTCAAGTGCAAGGTGCTGGTCCTGCCACTTCAAGAGCCTTCTGAGTCTTCAGGGCTCGCCCCCTTCCTGGTATGGTGTTCTATGCCTGCACTTGTAGTCTTCGAAGATGGGAGACCTTGTTTGGTACCCAAGATGAGAGGAAGGGAGAAGATACCTGTAAACTGTGGAGTCCTTTGATGCAGTTTCAGCGGAGTCTCAGCCTCCCCACATATGCCTTAAGCAAATCGCAGCCCTACCCAGACTGCGGCGGAGGAAGGGGTGGGAGACAGGACGGGTGGGCTCCCTATCTCATTATTCACCCCTTTATCCTTCCCTTGTTTAACCAGTCCTCCCCTGACCCCACCCCTAGGGAAAAGCAGGCACAGGCCAAGGGCAAATCCTAAGTAACTAAAATTAATAAAATTAAATTTTAACTTCGGGCCATCCAAGCCCTACGACGCTCTAGAGAGTCATTATCGAGGTAAGGCGTTGTCACTATGTGCACGGACGGCCGCGTCAGCCTCTACGCTCCCCAGGGCCTGGGCACAGCTGCACCGAATTCTCAAACAACCAAAATGCCCAGTTCCAGGGATTTGCTCCACCTGAGGCAGGAAGTTTGAAAAATTACCTGAGCCAAGGGCGTTGACTTCGTCCCCCAAAGACTGTGCAGAAGCCCAGTTTTCAGAACGAACGGAAGCAGGGCAGCTGGTGTGGCAAGGCGTAGAGCAGAGCCCTTCCCGCAGAAACCCGAGGGCTGTGCAGGCATGTTCGGAAACCACCACGTTAGACGTCCCCGTGACAGCCGGCTCCGAAGGCTGGCACGGAGACACTCGTCCCCCGGGGCCCTAACAAACCAGGCTGCACGCGTATCCGAAGGTGCAGGGGGTGTTCGGATAGCAGCCTGCTTCTCCTCACCAGGCTCAGGGCTGCGTCCTGTCCTGGTGCCCTGGCAGGTGCCCAGCCAGGCTTCTGTCCCCGCGATGCCTCAAAGCTGCCACCCCTCTCCCCTCACAGGCCGATGCCAAGATGGTGTGTGACGTGGTGAGCCGGATGGAGGACACCGAGCCCTTCTCTCCAGAGCTGCTGTCCGCCATGATGCGACTGTGGGGCGACTCAGGAATCCAGGAGTGCTTCAACCGGTCCCGGGAGTATCAGCTCAACGACTCGGCCAAATAGTGAGTGTGCTGGGCAGGAGAGGGGCCACGAGCGCCAGCAGGGCAGCAATTCAGGGGGGCAAGCAGTGGGGATCGGTGGGCAGACATCAGAGCTGCTGGGAGGTGTTCGGCGTTGGGCGACAGGACCAGGGAAGGGGCTTCTCCTCCTGCCCCCGGGATGCGCAAGAGGCCAGGCAGGCAAGGCTCTCCCAGCAGGCACCCCTCCCAGCCCCTCCTTCCGTCCAGGCCTCTGCACCCACCGGCCCTCTGCCGGACCACAGGAGGCTCACCCCTGCCTCCCTTCAGCCTCCACTCGAACATCAACCTGCCTGAGAAGCGTCCCCCGCCATCCTGTGTCAAATAGCAGCCCCCAGGGTCGCGCCCCTAAGACTGAACACCTGGTTCCTTCTCGTTCCACCTCCGGACGGGTCATAGATCTTACTTACCTGTTAATGATCACACACACACTGTTCCCCATCCCCAGCACCCGGACAGGGGGCAGGTAGTGAGCACAGCAGGTGCCCAGCCCACTGGTCACCCGCCCCTTCCCGGGGCCATCTCCCTGCATGAGGTGCGGCCCACACCTCATGAGGTTGTCTGTCTAAAGGAGGCTTCCCAGCTTGGATGGCGGGCCAAGACAGAGGCTCCCCAGCCCTGGTGTGCCACTGGAGGTGACAAGAGAGGGTCACTTTGAAACCAGCCCGGGTCCTATGCGGAGGTCATGGGAGTGGGGGAGGGGCACGCCCAGAGGGGTCAGGGGGATTGGGAAGGGCTTGGGGGGGCTGCTGCGGGCCAAGGCCCGAGCCGGCACCCAGAGGCAGTGCGGGGAGGTGCTGGGGCGGCCAGAGCTTCCAGACCCGGCCTGCAGCCTCGGCCCTCCGTCCACACAGGAGAGAAGGCCTGGAGGCCCAATCAAGAGCGCGGGCTCTGGAGTCTGTTACTGGCCTGCCCCTCCCAACCCCGTGGATGTCCATGAGCCAGGAAGCGGCCCCTGTGGGTCCTGGGGCCAAGGCTAATGAGGCACAGCCCCTCCTCATGCAGCCTGGGACCCCACGTCATCCCATGCCTTAGACATTTGGGGCTCCTCCCCCAGGCATGAGGAATGGGTGCCCGAAAGGCCCTGGGGGTGTCACTGAATCTTCCCGAAGGCCCAGCCCAGCTCCCTTCTTCCTGGTTTCCCAGATCTTTGGCTTTGGGTTCACACCTAACCCTACAGACCCCAAAGCCCTTCCAGGTGCTTGGCCTGCGCGGGTGGGGTCCAAAGGTCTGGTCTGTCCCTGGAAGTGGTGGCACAATGCGAGGGACCTGGTCCCAGGCAGGCCCCGCCACTGTCCGGCGCCGTGACCACTGAACCTCCCTTCCAAGGACATCTAATGGGAAGAGACCGTGGACCCCGCAGTAAACTCTCAGGAATTGCAGGAGAGTGGGCAGACGCTCGGGGGCCTCTTGGAAGCCTCTGTAGAGGCTGGTTGGAGCATGGACTCTGGGGCCAGATGTCCAGGTTCAGGGCCCGGCCCTCAGCTGGGCAAGGGGGCTCTAATCTGTAGAATAGTACATTTACCTGGGGAATTGAGGATGAAACATGACCACACATGTGAAGAATAGAGCCCAACTGCGGCCGTTATTGTCACGAAGAAATGACGAAGCAGCGTTATAGGCATGTTGGTCTCATTGAGAAGTCGGATCTTGTACCTGGCGCTGTGCACGGAGCCCGCTGTGTCCTGAATTAGAGGCTCTTTGGGAATGTGCAGGGACCAGGCTCTGACGGCCCCCCAGAGCTGGATCCATGGCCCTCCGTGTGTTGCTGTCCCCAGCTATCTGGACAGCCTGGACCGGATCGGAGCCACCGACTACCAGCCTACGGAGCAGGACATCCTGCGAACCAGGGTCAAAACCACCGGCATCGTAGAAACCCACTTCACGTTCAAGAACCTTCACTTTAGGTGAGGCTGGGCGACCTCGGAGCCCCAGGCTCCGCCTGCTGGCGGCTCTTGTGTTGGGACAGGCAGTTAGAGAGGAGGGGCCTGTCTGCAGGTCCATTTTCCACCAAGTTAAGGGGTTGGGGGCAGCGGGGAGGCCTCCTGGAAGAAGGGTCCTGGAATGGGGCTCTGAGGAACAGGGAGGTTAAACCAACAAAGAGGGGGTGACCTCTGGGGAGGAGGAGGCGGACCCCCTCGCAGGCCACCTCGTGGGGAGGGGTGGGGAATGGGGGTGGGTCAGCCTAGGCAATACCAGGGAGGTCCCAAGGACCCACCTAATCTCAGAACTGGAAGGGGCTTAGGGAGCAGCTGACCCACCCTCTCCCAACACATATGGGGAAACCGAGGCCTAGGGGGAGCAGGCTGTCCCCAGTCACAGGACACAGCTCGAGCCCTTGGGCTCTGAGCACCTCGGAACAGGGGCCTGAGGTGCGAGGCGGGACTTCTCAGACCCTGCGGTGGGCTGTGTCTCCACCTGGGGTGACCTCGTGGACTGAGGCCGGGGAGCCCCTGCCCTGCCCCTCCTGCCCTGTGGGTATGATTTCTGGGGTCGAAGGAGCAGGGGGAGAGGCGAGCGGGGGTAGACAGGAATAAGGCCCTGTTCCCTGGCCCCAGGCCTGCCTGGGGGGCTGGGCTCCAGCTCTCCTGCCGCCCACTTCCCCATCCCCTGCCCCTTCTCACACAGACGGGGGCGCTGAGGTTCCGTCTCCTTGCCCAGGCCTGGCAGGCAGCCTGTCCGGAGGGCCTTGGGCGCGGCACTGGGTGCAGGTGCCTCTCGCCTCCCCCGAACCTGGGAGCACAGCCTGGGTTCAGTGGCCCCACAAGGTGCCTCTCACCCTCCAGTCACCTCAGCCTCTCCCACTGTCCCCTCGGCGGCACAGGGCAGGAACCTGGACCCCACACTGCCCCGCAGGCAGAGTCCAAGAATCAGTGTCCACATTCCAGACTGGGGAGCAGGACCCTGGGGAGGCAGGGACAGACGAGGACCGCAGCTGTTTCCTTGCTCGGAGCTCACTCTGGTGTCCGGCCGCAGTCCTCCACCTGGAGAGCCGGGTCCTGGGGCACATGGGGCCCAGCCCCCCGCAGCCATGAGCCCGCTGGCTGCCCAGGCCTCGGAGGCCGCAGGGGTCTTTGCTCAGGGCCTCAGGATGTGAGACGGAGCTCTCCCTTGCAGGGCATGGACCCCCCGTCCACAGCCTCTACCCACAGCCCTCTGCCCCCTGAGGGTGGCATCTGAGAGCAGGAGGCAAGGACAGGTGGCACAGGGCAGGGTCAGAGGCTTTGTGGACAGGCGCGGCCCAGACCCCAGCCCTTCACATCAGCTCTTGCCAGCACCATGGGGTCCTAACCCCAAGGTGTCTCGCTTTTCCCCGATGTAGCAGGTAATGGTCCCTGCCTGCCTCCCTCCCAGGTTCGCTGGGACTTTGCCCAGAGCACAGACACGAACAGGTGCGCCCAGAAAGCCAGGAGCAGGCTGTACATGTAGCCCTGACAGGAGGACCTCGTGGAGCCTGTCTTAGGGGCCCGATGAGGCACGCGCCCAGGGAACCCCTGCAGGTGGGAAGGCAGGTGTCTGACTCGCCGCAACATGGATGCGGGCTCTGCCATGGGATAGGCAGCAGAGAAGCTGGTCTCAGCACCTGGAGCGGGCTTACAGGTGGCTCCGGCAGGTGCCCAGCCCCTCCCCCTCCTGCCCCAGACCTCGACAAGCCACCCCCCAACCTGCCTGGGCCCCACCGCCCGCCACCCCAGCCTCCTTGTCTCATCGGCAGGCTGTTTGACGTCGGGGGCCAACGATCTGAACGCAAGAAGTGGATCCACTGCTTCGAGGACGTCACGGCCATCATCTTCTGTGTCGCGCTCAGCGGCTATGACCAGGTGCTCCACGAAGACGAGACCACGGTGAGTGGCCTGCGCCCACCTGGCCCGTGGGGGCACTGATCCACTGGCCCATACAGCTCGGCAGATGCCGGGGGCTCGGTCATGGGGCAAATATCTGGTGACGCCGGTGCAGAAAAGGCAGCCGCAGGTCGGTGGCTCGGGGGCCGGGCAGACTGCTCCCAAAGGTCTTCGCAGCCTTTGGGTCCCAGGCAGTAAGTGCCCCTTCGGTCAACACAGCAGAGCCACAGAGGCCATCAGGCCAGGACCAAATGAAGCCAGTCCTAAAAGAAACGGGGGGGCATCGGGCAGAATGTGCGTAAGACAGGCCGAAAGCAATTCTTTCCGCTGCCCGGGCTGCTGTCGGGAGAGGCGCGCGGGGCGGGCGGCAGGTAGGGCAGCCGGCAGGGCAGTGGCCCCTCCGGGGGACGCCAGCCCAGGTTCCTGCCTCAGAGGTGTGTCGTGTGCAGCCCGGGGCCTCGGAGAACAGCCAGCCTGGCCTCAGCAGGGGCGCCCGCCTGGCCAAGGTGCGGCGTCTCCCTGTCCTGGTCCCCGGTTGCTGCAGAATTCAGACAGCACACTCTCGCCTCCGTCGCCATCACCTGTCGAAGGGCGCGGTGGGGGACAGTAGTACTTACCTTTGGGGACACTGGCAATAGATGAGAGCATCTGCGTGAAGTACTGGGACAGCGGCTCCGCGTTGGTGTTTGTACTGTCACTGATGATTGTCCTGACTGAGGGTCCACTGAGAGTCCCCATCTGGTGTGCAGCCACAGGGCGGTGGGCCTGTTCACACAGCCTTCCAGGGAAGCCGGGTGTTAGTGCGGGGCACCCCCAGCAGTGCCGGACACAAGCCCACAGCAGCCGCTGGGGGAGGAGCCCCTGGGCTGTGGGGCCACACCCCAGCATCTTCCAGTTTCTCCTGTTTCCAGCACACGCAGGCCTCGCCTGGGGAGGTGGGAGGCGGGCCTGTCATCGCAGTGGCCTTGACCGGGGCTGTCTTCTCTCTGGGTCTCGTCTCCTCATCAGTCCTGCCTGCCAGTCCCCCAGGCTGCTCTGGAGATCTGATGGGCTTTGGGGAGCCGGCCACAGGGTGCAGTGCTGTGAGGGGAAGGAGCCGCCGTCCTGAGGGAGCGTCTGGCAGATTGGGGCCGACGCCATTGCCTGGGTGGGGAGTGAACGCAAGAAGTAGATCCAGTCGCGCCGCGTGCTGGCTTGTCCACCTTGTCCTCCCTCCTTCGGGCCCAGATGCACCCCGAGTCAGGTTCAGCAAGCCCCCCAAGCCCTGTCTTATCCTGGGGGAGGCTTCTGGGGCCTCAGCCGTGCAGCTCTTTCTGGTGACACCATCATCATTCTCAGTGACCTCGGCAGGTTGTGGCACCTGAGATCACGGGCGCAGAGGGTGGGCAAGGATAGACGTGCACCGCGGGCTGCATCTGGACCCGCGCACGGGGGCTGCCCGGTGGCACCTCTGTCGCTGCTGGTTCACTGCTTTTTTGAGCCGCCGTCCGTGGTCTGATTGGCCAGCTCTGTGGTCTGGGCTCCATCCACTTGGTTCATCTTTCCCCGTGGGACCCGGGAATGGGGAGCAGGGCTGTGGGTTTCAAAGAAAGTGAAAGGCCGGAGAGTGGAGGGGCCCTTCACCCTGAGCAGGCCTCTCCCCAGGACCTGCCGTGCCAGGCCTGCAGGCAGCTCAGACCCAAGTCCCAGGCCCCTCGGTCATGCGGCAGGGCCTCCCCCCCGCCCCTGTGGCACAGGGCAGAAGCAGAGTGATGCTTTTGGCAGCCACGAGGCCGAAGCTGCACAGCCGTCGGGTCTCCATCAAACGTGATGCCAGGCCCCGAGCTCAGGCAGCCTTTCCAGTCTGCCTGCCCTGTTCAGCCCGGCCAGCCCTCAGCAAACCCCTCACCAGCCCTTGCTGCTGAGCAGGGCACGTGTCCTGGGCGCTCTGCCGCCTCCCTGCCTTTCCTGTTGTTCCCTTACCTCCCTCCTTCTCCCCGTGTGCCCTGCCCTTCTTCGCGAGGGCTGGAGCAGAGGACCGTGGGGAAGCCAAGGCATGGGGGCCCAGGCCAGGAAGGGGCCTCCTCCTGCGGCCCTTTCCTCCCCAAAGCGGACCAGCTGGATGGCCCAGGACAGAGCAGCCGCCGTCCAGGGGACAGGAATGTGCTCTCCAACTCGACAACAGCCCAGGACAGCGGCCCGTTGCCCGCGGCAGCAGGAACGACACCGCTGCTGCAGAACTCAGCCGACAACTGTGTGCCCGGGACCTGTGGGCGCACTGGGCAAGTGGGGAGCCGGATGGATGTGGCCCCAGGTCCAGCGCTGGCCCTGAAACTGTGTCACGTGGCAGCCGCTCCACTTCCTGCTCCTTAAAATGGTGACAGTGGGCGCTAAGCCTCTGGAGCGGCTGTGAAGAGCTCAGGGCTCGGAGCTACCGGAGGACCTGCGCTAGGGACTGCCCTCGGGAGATGGCAGCAGCCGGACTCCCCTGTCCGGGCGCGGGGCTGCGGGACAAGCTGCGGGCTATGGACACTCGGCCCTGAAAGCCAGAGCCAGGCCCCGCTGACCAGCCCTCGGTCGCCGCCTTCCTCTCTGGTCAGCCCTGCGTGTCCCTCCCTGGCCTGGGGCGAGAGTTGGAGCTGCCCGAGACAGGTGTCCGGAGGTGGCTCTGGAACAGGAGGCTGCCTACCCCCCGGCCGACCCCCCAGTCCGCCGCGCCCTGGGAGCCGCGGGCCCGTCCTGTCCTCGCGCCCCAAGCCCGCGGCTCCAGCGGCACTGGGCCCGCCACAGCTGCACCGCCGCTGCCATCGCCACCGCCGACAGGGCCTTAACTTACCAAACCAAGGCCAAAGCCCCGAGCAGACTCTGAGAGCCTCCAAGCCGGGCAGGTATGAAGCAGCCCCCGCAGTGGAAACCAGCAGCTGAGAGTTGAAAGCAGCAGGTTCTCGGGGCCCGCGGGTGACTTTGCTGTGATGCCTGCCCCCGCCCACTCTCGCATCCCACACTCCTCACCAGCCGCGCAGCGCGCAGTCCCTGGGTGGCCGTGGCCTCTGTGAGCCTGCACAGGGGCCCAGGACGGACCGGCCTTGACTTCCCAAGACTGGTTGAACCAATTCTCCAGAGTTTTTTTCCCTCTCTCTTTCTCTCATGTTTTCTGCTGGGTTTTTATCTTCCTCTCGCTTTAACCTGATTCGCTGGGTTTCGTCTCGGGGTTCTTCCGGCCCCTCTGCTGAGAAACCAGCCCCAATAAGCAGCTCACCCAGAGCCGACCCCTCACCCAGCCACAGCCCAGCCAGCTGACCAGTCCCCAACCACACCAAGGCCACAGCAAGATCACCCCCCAGACGCTCTGCCCCTGGTGTCTGCTTCCAACTCTGGATTAATTCGAGGATCTTAGTCCTCGGTTAATGCTCCCCAACGGAATGCGTGCACCTCCCCCACCCCGCTGGTGACCCCGAATGAGACCCCGGTAGAGAAATCTGCATGGCCCTCAGCTCCGTGTAGACGTGTTGGATGGCGGCACGGCCCCTGCCCCTGAGTGCATGGTGCATGTCCTCTCCGTGAGCTGGGGTCCGTCCAGTGACCTTGCTGCCCTGTCCCAGGTCAGCCCTTTTGGGGGAGGGGGTGGTTCGGGGACAGCATACCCCACCCTGCCCGCCCTGCTCCACCCCACCCTGCCTGCGTGCGGAATGAAGCGGGGACCACGTGCCATTTGTCTTTGTGGGCCCCCCGTCTCCGTCCCTTGGTGGTACATCCCGCCTCGTCGGGGGCCCTTTCCTTGGCTTGTCCCACTGCGTGGTGGCCGCGGTGGGTCCAGCCCTGTGCGCTGGTGCTGACCCGCCTCTCCGCTCTGTTGCAGAACCGCATGCACGAGTCCCTGAAGCTGTTCGACAGCATCTGCAACAACAAGTGGTTCACAGACACGTCCATCATCCTGTTTCTCAACAAGAAGGACCTGTTCGAGGAGAAGATCAGGAAGTCCCCGCTGACCATCTGCTTCCCCGAGTACACAGGTGAGGGTGGCAGGGGCCTGGCTGCCGGATGCCCTCGGGGAGCGGGCACCTGTCCAGAGCTCCGCCCCCATACTGTGCCCTGAGGATGCTCCGGACTCTGCCGCAGAGACTCCGACACAAAACCAAAGCAGCCCCTGGGGAGGCAGGGCGGGAGTCCTGGCTGTGCGACCACAGCGGCCTCTGGGAGCCGAGGCCTGGTCGTCCGTAAATACAGATTATAGGTGAGGGCGCCGCACCAAGAAGGCGAGGGTGCTACCACCAGGCCCCTGGCTCTGCCCCTCACAGCAGGTTCTGGAACCCATCGGTGCCTCAGTCTTCACGTCCGTGAGATGGGGACAATGACGTGGTCGTCCAACCCTCCCTCACAGGGAGGCCGGGAGGGCCAAGTGCGCAGTGAGCACGGGGCGCTCGGCACGGCAGCTGGCGCACAGTGCGTGCTCACTGTGACTGCAGTGGCAACTAAAGAATAGCCTAACACCTCCCACATGGGGTTACGAGGGCCAGTGGCCTGTCGGAGGGGAGAGAGCTGCCCAGGCAGCCGAGACCTGGCCTCCTGCGGAGGCTGCTGAGGATGACGAGGGTGCCTCTGTTGAGTGGCCGTGGGTTTACCTAACTGCGGGTGGGCAGACGACCACGGAGCAGCCAGGCGCCCGCCCGCTATTCCGGATGGCAGGGCCTGGTGGGGGAGGCGAGCGGGCGTGCCCAGCCTGACCAGCCCCCCTGCCTATCACCCCTTCCTCAAGGCCAGGCCGACAGCCCCGTAGGCCAGGCCCCCAGCAGTGAGCAGCCAGAGTGGACGGGGCGCAAAAGCCCTCACGCCCACCAGTCAGCCCCCCTTCGCTTCAAGGTGGGGGCTCGCAGAGCCCGCCCTCGTTGACCTCGGCTGTGACCTGTCAGGCAGCGCGAGCAGGCAGGCAGGCCAGTCACCAAGGCTGCTTCGGGGCCGACACAGCCCGAGTGACTACCTGTAGGTGCTGGCCCTCGCCTCCAGCCCAGGCAGAGAGAACCGTGGTTTGGCAGACCCTCAAGGCCAGGCCTGGTGGCCTGTGCCATGTGCTTGAGATACTGGGGCCCCTCCAGGAACATCACCCCTGGGTTTGCAGCTTTAAAAGCCAGCCCCGCTTCCTGCCTTCCCGCAGAGGGCCGTGGCAGCCCGGCCCGGGCCCGAGGCCCAGGTCCTGGGGCCTGTGGAGGCTTCCTCACGAAGCTTCCTGCCCTGCTCCTTCCGGGGCAGCAGCTGCTCTCCTGGAAACCCTCCCACGGGCCCGCCCGGGAGCAGGGCGATCTGGTGCTCCCTGAGAAAGGCGGCAAGTCAGGGTGCCAGACCGCTTAGTCCCGGACCGGGAGCCTGGGAAAGGGGAGGCGTGAGGAGACGCAGGCCGAGGTGGCTCAGTCTCTGCCTACATCGGCCTGCTCTGAGGGGTCCCGGGCAGGAGGGGACTACCTGGGGGTGTGCATCAGCCAGGGGCTGGTTCTCACTGGCCTGAGCAGGACCTGCGGGAGGAAAGAAGGAACATTTGCATCATGAGTCAGGTGTGTACACAAAAGGGAAACAGGAGTTTCTTGAAAAGCTGCTCGCCCGTAGCAGGGGTGAGACACAGTGAGGTCTGGCATTTTCCTTTCATGATTCTTGACCCATGTGGACCACGACTTGATTTCATGGCCCACTGCTGACGGAGCGGAGCTGCTAAGTTTCCCTCGCCCGCCGGGTGTCTCCTTCAGGTGACCCCGAGAGGCCCCGGGCGTGGTCTCGCCTCACCTGTCCCCCCCTGGCTCCTCCCACAGGCCCCAGCGCCTTCACGGAAGCCGTGGCTTACATCCAGGCCCAGTACGAGAGCAAGAACAAGTCAGCCCACAAGGAGATCTACACCCACGTGACCTGTGCCACCGACACCAACAACATCCAGTTTGTCTTTGATGCCGTGACGGACGTCATCATCGCCAAAAACCTGCGGGGCTGTGGCCTCTACTGAGCCCCAGCCTTGCCTCCCAGCCACCCACCGCACTGCCCGGCCTGCTGCCCGCCCCCGCCCCCTAGAACCTGAGCTCCGGCACCTCTCATGCACTTGACAAAGCAGCACAGCGGCTGGCACCAAGGGGGGAGGAGGGACTGTCCTCCACGGCCGCCCCGCCCCCAACATCAGAGCACATGGTAACCCAGGCCGGGCAGGGTGCCGGCCTGCCTGCCTGCCGCTCACCGGCCTCGGCTCCGTTTCCGAGTGTCGTCTCCTGGGGAGAGGGATGCGGGGCCAAGGGCGTCGTGCCGCCCGGAAGGGGCACCCCCTGCACTTGGCAACTCATACTCAAAGTCCCAGGGTCTGCTCCTGCCTTCTGGGGCTGCGCAGGTGGTAGGGGTGGCCTTGGGGCAGGGTGCTGGAAGGGAGGGGGCCGTGGGAACCACTGCTCAGCTTTTCCTGGGCTCTCTCTGGTGGGGCAGCTCCGTCACCAAAAGCCAGGGCAGGACTGGGCACAGGGAGTGTGGGTCCAAGGCCTCAGCAAGGGCATCTGGCCTCCTCCCCTTGGACCTCAGCCCCGGTGGAAGCCCTTCCTTCTCTGGGCGGCCTTCCTTGTGCATCCCTGGGGCTCCCAGGCACCCCCCCGGGAACTCCTGGGTCAGGAAGTGGCTCCGGCTGACTTGTTGCCGTGGCCTGCGCGCGTTGGGGGAGGGCTTGGCCCCGCGGCGCCCCGACAGAGGTTGAGGAGGAGTCGAGAGGCTGGGCTGCTGAGGGGAAGTAGCCCCGGCGTTGACCGCGATAGCACCTCACGTCTCGTCCCTGTAGGCCCAAGGGTGACCCACCTACCCTCCCCATTGCCCCATCTCAGGCAGCTGATCCGGGTGTGAGTAACCAAGTGTTTTCTTTTCGAGTTTACAGTGAATCCAACTCGAACCGGCAGGGGCTGGGTGGAGGTTCTGTTGCTGGGGAGGCTGGGGGCGGCGGGGGATGGGAGTGGGGTGGCGCGCAGCCTCTGAGGCCAGTACCCGGCGTCCTTTGGTCTCCGTGAAGAAGCCAGGGAGTGTGTCCCCAGCCCTCGGTCCTGCAGGCCCCCCGGGGCAGAGGGGGGCAGATGGGCACTGCCAGGGGCCCAGGCTGCCTCAGACATACGCCCCCCCCCCATAAAGAGACTCCTAGGACCCCTTGGAGGGGCTGTGGCAGAGACTCCTGAGCAGCAGTGGGTGGCCAACTTCCAGGGACCCAGGCTCGGGCCAGCCTCAGGCAGGGAGCACCCCGGTCTCTCACCCTGGGCTCCCCCAGTTGGCAGGTGCCAGCAGCCCGGGCGGACGCCGTGTGCTGCGTGACGGGCTCTGCCCAGGGAGCCAGATGTGCCCGTGGGAAGAGCGCGCCCTCCCCAAGCCCTCTGCTCTCCCAGCCTCCGCCTGGGCTCTGCGCCGTCCCAGGGCCAGGCCGGACGCGTGGGCTCCCAGGGCCACCCGCGGCTGCCCCGGAGCCAGGAAGAGCCGGTGCCGGCCGCTCGGGGCTCCCTGGGCCGTGCAGGCCCTCGGCTCTGTGTGGTGCACGGGAGACCCATAGCCCCCTCCCTAGGGCCCGATGCCTGCGGGCATGGATGCCCCGGGCGAGCCCCTCCCCGCCCGGCTCTCCTGCTGCTGCCGGCCTCGTGGGAAAGCACAGGCAGCCAGCCTGCAGGAGCCACCCGCCAGCCCCGTCCACCTGGTCCTTTCGCCTTGTGTGCGGCCCGTGTGCCGGGCCGGGTGGGGCCAACAGTCCCCGTGCCCTGTCAGGGGCAGCCAGGCCCGGCTCAGCCATTTTGTCCACCATGGAAGACACAGCCGTTACTTCCCAGCATCTCTGCCTCGGGGGTCACCAGCTCTGCCCCTACTTCTGCCCTGGGACCCCAGACTCAAAAGTAGCAACAAGGAGGGGAAGGTGGCCAAGCTCCACCGCCATTGGTGGAAGTCACTGGCCCGGTAGGTCACTGGCCACCCCCCGCCCCCAGTGGCAGCGTTGGGAGGCTGGGGGAGCAGGTTGCCGGGGGCCTTCCTGCGCCGCCCTTGGCCTCCGGCTGGCCAGGGCATCCGTGGCACCCCAGGGTAAACCCCGAGGAAGGGGTGTCGGGCGGAATGCCCTCGCTGTCCACTGCGTTGCCCATGCATGTTCCCACCGACGACTCCACCGTGGGGAGTCACCGCTGAAGGCGACAGATGACTTGGCTCCGTCGTGGCTGTAGGGGGCGATGTCGTGAGTGGGTGACGTGGGCGGCCCTGTGTGTGGGGGCCGTGCTCAAACTCTGAGCGACCCTGAGTGAGCCGGCCAAGGAGAACTGATTTCCAGGAGGGTCATCTTTGCCAAACCCATGAAGCGTGCCTGCCGCCCCGGCGCCCGTGGGCGAGTTCTGTGCCCTGCCCCAAACGCCCCCACCAGAGCCAGGCCTTGGCCTTGGCGCGGAGAACTGCGAGAGGCCCCCGAGGCTCCCCGGCCTGACTGGAGGGCCGGCGCCAGGTCAAGCCTGCGCCCTCTGCTCTGAGGACTGCGTGGGCTCTGCCCCCACTCCCCAGGCCTCTCACCTGCAGCTTTGACCTCCTGGGTCCCAGGGCCCCTTTCCACAGAAGCCTAATGCCATGTGCCCCACCCCTTCCTTCTTCTCTGGCCCCAGCAGAGCCTGAGGGCCCATGGCCACAGGTTCCCGCCAGGGAGCAGGGGCAGTGCCCCGGCAGCAGGCCACCACCACAGCTGGTGCCAGGAGGCGGCGGGCTCCCTGCCCAGCTCCCTGCCCCCTGGTGGGAACCGGGGACAGGACTGTGCTGGCCTTCGTTGAGTCCCCGCAGCCCCCTCAGGCAGCAGCCGCAAGCGCCTGCCCAGCCGGAGCCTCCACAGCCAGGCCGTCTGAGAGCCCCCCACCCCCAGCACCCCTCCATTCTGCCAGGACAAGTCCTGAGGGGACGGGTGCCCACCCCCCTGCTCCATGCTGACACATTCACAGCCAGTGTCTGGTGGCCGGTTCTGCAGGTTCTTCCTCCTCCTGGACCCTCCCCTTTTCCCTTG